GTGGAGAGGAGGAATTGTAGTGGAGAGGAGGGGTTGTGGTGTAGAGGAGGGGTTGAGGAGAGAGGAGGAATTGTGGTGGAGAGGAGGAATTGTAGTGGAGAGGAGGAATTGTAGTGGAGAGGAGGGGTTGTGGTGTAGAGGAGGGGTTGGGGGGAGAGGAGGAATTGTGGTGGAGAGGAGGGATAGTGGTGGAGAGGATGCAGGTTCAATCCCCAGTATGGGGGGTACAGAAGACAGCTGATCCATCTTTCCCATCATTGATGTTTCTATCTCCCTCTCCTTCCCCCTCTCTGAAAATCAATAAAAACACATTGGACCAAAAAATGGATGAGTAAGAAAAGCCGCATCCTAAATCAATAAACACCTTAACAATTTAACCCATTGAAATGGAAAAATAGTCTCACATGTCGACTCCTTGAGCAATACTGTGGTGGAGAGCAGGGGTTGGGGGGGAGAGGAGGGCTTGTGGGGGAGAGGAGGGGTTGTGGGGGAGAGGAGGGGTTATGTTGAATCTGCTGACCATGGGAGACTCTTCCCCAAGGGGTCCCTGTCCTCTAAGTTTTTAAATGGGGCCCATCATAGTTATCTCGCGGTGTTTCTCTGAACACGAAGAAGGTGTGTGTAAAACTGCTGCGCGGAGTCTGACACATTGGAAGTCCCTAATCACTATCGCTGTGAGCCAAGCTGGTTGCTGAGATAACGGTGGTTCGGCGGCGTCCACTCTCCAGCGATTTCTCTGGGGAGAAGATGACTTTGCAAGAGCAGGTTGAATGAAAGAGGGTCCTTGTAGATGGGGTCGAAGCAGGACACTCCAGGTTTAAAATAAAGCCCCAGAGAAGACTTACAGTGACTACAGAATCATTGGCTAATAGAATCATCGAGAAAATATAGCAAGATAAATGGAAGCAACACATTTTAACAGTGACCAAGAGAGGAAAATTATGCTAAGGGCTTGGAACTAATTATTGGGCTTCTGAGTCCAATTAAACAACCCAGTTTTCAAACGTGAAGTCGGTGTGGTGGTGTCAAACCAGAACGCATTTCAAGGCCAGCTGCGGACAGCACAGCTGTGACTCCTGCTGTGACTCCGATAGGTAACAGCCAGCGCGGTGGGCGTTGTGCTGAGAGTGTTCGTGCGCTCCCTGATATGATCCCTATAGGAACCCAAAGAGATAGGTGTTACAGTCTTCACTTGCTCAAGAGAAATCTAAAGCACAAAGAGATGCCATAACAGGTCCAAGGCTGTCCAGCCAGTGAGAGGCTGAAACCCAGCTGTTCTTCGCCAGAGTCATCCACCACCACAGCTGTACCTGCCACCGAGAAGACAAGCCCCGTTAACCTTTGTAATGACTGCTCCAGAACGCGGGACATACCGAGACTGGGCGATGTGACATGCTACAGTGCAATCTGTTATTGGTAACAATTAAATGCAGGAAAATCGTGTGGTTGTAGTAGGAAGAGGGCTTCATGACATAAAGTGGTATTTGGAGACAGCAGAAAAAGAAATGTAAACTGTGGGCTGATAAGGGGGAGGTAACTGGCGAAGCATTAGGGCAACTGTGCTGGGAACTTCTGCAGACAAAGCATTTAGGGGGACTGTGGACAAAAGCTCAGAGGAGACACAACAGGAGTTTGGATTCAACTAGTGGCTGTGGCATAAATCTGGAAAATAGATAGCGATGTACCTCTTTTGGGTTCGACTGAAGTCCGTGTGGGGTGATGGCTCAATGTATCTCCTTTCTGCTCACCGTTTTTACATTTAAAATAATTTTTTTTTAGTGTTTTATATGTACATTATTTTTATCCTCACCCGAGAATGTATTTTTATTGATTTGAGAGAGAAAACATCAATCAGTTGCCTCTCGTTCAAGTCCCACATGGGAATTACCCGTCACCTTTTGGCTTAAGGGACAACACTCCAACCAACCGAGCCACCTGGCCAGGACTATTTTTACTTATTTTTTTTTAATGCACTGTTTCTTGTGGAAATCAACAGATAGTTCTTTCAATATTTTGTAATAACCTGCACTTCAGTCAATAAGACCACTTGCTAATTTCTGATCCTTGAAAGCTTATTGGGTAGTTGAAAGTAGATATGGAATTATTAATAGTAAGACAGTATCTCATAAATTTTATCAGCTGTTGAAATTTGAACAATAGCTCCCTAAACACAATTTAAAAAAAAAAAAAAGAAACCCACTAAATAATCTAATTACAAAATGGTATATTTTAGACAAGGTAACATATGCATTCTGACTTATTTTGAAATTTTGTCTTTTTAGGACCAAGTAAAATTGAACACATATTCTCAGAAGCAGGTATGTTATCATTTACATGGACTAACAATCTGTCCAGTTTAGCTAAGTGTTGCTAGTTCCAAATGCCTAAGAAAATAAGAAGCGTCACATTTAAAAACAAAAGCACATGTTATTAATTTTAATCACACAATACTGTAAAGGCAAACAAAATATGCTCTTTTTAAAATTAAAATAGGCATGTCTTATTTTCTTAAACATTTTGGAAATAGCAATACATAACTTGATAATTATTTTTTCTATTTTTATATATACTTTCATTGATTTCAGAGAGGAAGGGAGAGGGAGAGAATCATTGATTGGCTGCCTCCTGCACGCCCCCTACTGGGGATCGAGCCCAACACCCAGGCATATTCCCTTGACTGGAATCGAATCTGGGACCTTTCAGTCCGCAGGCCGATGCTCTATCCGCTGAGAAAACTGGCTAGGGCAACAATAATTTTTCTTTTAAGTTAGACCTTTTTAGCTTTCTAACCACCATAGTTACTAGAGAAAAGTCTCTTTAAGAGCTTATAAAACAATTGAACTTCTCTTATCCCTATCATGAAGAAAGCAAAGAGTAATAAGTCATGTCACTAGTTGACCCCTTATCAAGATTATTCTTATACAGACCATTCATGTCTCAATCTCTATTCATGTCTGGCCCTATGCTACCACTGTGGGGCTGTCTTCCAAACCCTCTCCACCTGGGGACTGACACTTTCTCCCTCAGCTGCTGCTGTAGAGCTGACATTAGTCATTTATGTGCTTACTTACTAGTCTGCATTTCTGAGCTGCCCTTCACACGTGATCTGTGTCCAAACCTCACACACACACACACACACACACAATGAATTGGGGAACTGAATCACTATTGTATTAAAGCTAGGTGGACAGAAAGGCTGGGCTTTTACTTTGTTTTCTTTTAATCAATAATAAGACTTTTAAGTGTAAATTAGCCAAATAAATAAGCCATTTACCTATATGTTTTGCCTTCTACTTACTTAACTTGGAATCTCTACAAATATGCTATGAATATGCGAGAGTACCACTAGCGTAAACTTTGTTTTCTTCCCAGCATATAAGATTTGAAAAAATCTTCTTAGTGAGTATGTTATAGAGCATGCATAAGGGTAATGTAGAAGGAACAGAAGCTTAGAATCTAGGTGACCCGAACTATGGTCACATTCCTTCTAACTAGTTGTCTCACCTAGGATAAATAACTTAAACTCACTGGGCTTCTTTTCTTCATTTGCAAACTGCTTATATCAGTTTCCTTCCAAAGTTCTGATTCTATGATCTGTCCAATACCCCTTTCTATGTCAAGACATTATTTTCTTTCATCACTTTGAGCCTGTGAAACACTTCATGGTTTTTCCCATATTGGGGCAAACCATCCACACAGCTGCCTGTGAGGCATGTGAAGAGCCCTGAATTTGGAGTTGGGACCCTGGGTTCTTGGTTCTGTCAGATGTGTGACCTTGGACAAAAGACTTTACTATTCACAGGTTCAGTTCATCACGTGGTTACTTTGGAAAATCTTGTTTTTTAAAAGATAAAATATATTAATGTTTCTTTAATTGATATGCGGTCATTTATGTCACAGTTTTATAATTTTCTGCTCTCTTTTTCTCCCATAGTGGCAATAGTCATTATTTTGGGGGTGATGGCTGGTGTCATTGGAACTATACTCCTTTTTGCTTATGTTATTGGCAAACTAACTAAGGTGAGAATTTAGTTTGGGTATTGATGCTATTGGGTTTTTTGGTTTATTGGTTTTAGAGAGAAGGAAAGGGAGGGGAAGAGGGAGAGGGAGACGGAGAGAAAGGAGAGAGAAATACCGATGTGAGAAACAAACATCAATTGGCCGCCTCCCAAAGGCCCAACTGGGGATGGAACACACAAATTGATTTGGAGCATTGTCCAGTACACCAAAAGGGGGATTCCCAGTCAGGGTACGTATCCGGGTTTCAGGTTCAATCCCTAGTTGGAACACCTGCGGGAGGTGGCTGATCGATGTTGTCTCTCTCTCCTCTCTCACTCTTCCTCTCTCTAGAATCAATTTTTTAAATAAATAAAGAATGTTTAAAAGGCTTGTTTGGTGGGGTAACAACCTGCACTGGGGAAGCTATAGCAAGACTGATGGTAACTCTACACTAAATTCCTTTGCCCTTTCCTTTTTTAACTACCTCTTTTATGTGACTTAATCACCTAACGTTATGCTTGATTGTCATTACTCCATGTAAATGGATCTTCTCTAAAGAATGCTTTCTTGCCAAGACCGGTTTGGCTCGGTGGATAGAGCGTCAGCCTGCGGACTGAAGGGTCCCAGGTTCGATTCCGGTCAAGGGCATATCCCCGGTAGGAGATGTGCAGGAGGCAGCTGATCGATGTCTCTCTCTCATCAATGTTTCTAACTCTCTATCTCTCTCCCTTCCTCTCTGTAAAAAATCAATAAAATATATTTTAAAAAAAAAAAGAATGCTTTCTTAACAAAAGTGCCGAGGTCCAGCCCTGGAAGTCCAGGGGTTCCCAAAGGTGTGGACGGAGTCGGCAAAGAATGCTTTACACGGAGACAGCGTTCAGAACTCTCTAGCTCTCTTTAGTCTCTGTGGATCTTCCTGTGCCTGGCTGAGGCCACAGAGAAAGATCCCGAGGCAAGCTGAGCCTTTATTTTATAGTCAGAGGTAAACATAGTTACACTGTTCTTTTGAGTTTCACCTGCTTTTGTTCTTGCTCTTGCTGCACTTCCCTCAGCCCATGAGCTTCCCAGGTAAGATCTAGGGAGCGTCATAAGGTCAAGCCTAATTATGCTAAGAGGACTGTGCCCTCTAAGCTGGGACTTGTTTGTGACTTTGCCAACAGGTCAGTCCGAGGCTTAACCCTATAGCGGCTCCCCACACAAAACTAAAGTAATGGAGTGTTTGAACTAATATGAGAGATTCTGTGAAGACTTGAATACGGGCAGTCTTCTCTTGTCTGCAGAATAAATATTAAAGAGATTTTCTTCTTGTGTTTGAGCATATATGACAAACTACGTTTTTGTCTTCTCTTAGTTGATCTGAAATCTGAAAGAATCAATGAAATGCTTAGTTGACAAAATTCAGAGAAAATCTTCTACATGCGTATAGTAAAATTGGGTCATGGTCAGTATGACTAAGAGATTTTTATCTCTCTATAATATTTCCATTTTAGCTTTTTATTATAGCAGGGAAGTAAGGCAGTCAATGTTTGAAGTAATAATTCAGCTATGGAAATGACAAATAGTATTTTACTATTTAGAAGTACAAATACAAGTTTATAAAACTTTGTACGTATCTATGAAATAATAACCTTTCTAAAAAGAAGGGGGAAAAAAGACTCTACAAAGTGAATTACAAAGAGAACAACGTTAGCCAAAAAAATTTTTTCATCTGCGATCTTTTTCTTTATAGTGTCTTAAGTTTAGGAAAAGTTGACATTAATATTTTTCTGCCTTTTACTTATAGAAACCTTCACTTAATGTGCAATCTACATTCTCACATGACCCAGACGCTCCTTTAAGTTCTGTAGAAACAGGAAATCCAGGTTGGTGTGACTATTCTTATTGCCTATTGCCTTTTGCCTTTGGGGAAGGGAAATAAATTAATGAATTACGTCTTTCTGATTTGGGAAGGGTGTGTTCAATTGGGATTCATTTACCAGTGTATTCTACTAGAGGCCCAGTGCATGAAATTCATGCACAGGGCAGGGGGGCGCGGGAGGGGAGGTTGTCCCTCAGCCTGGCCTGTGCCCTTTTGCAATCTGGGACCCCTCAGATAGGGTCCCTAGTCCTAGCTGGTGATCAGGGCCTATCAGGGCTTTCCTTCCCCCAGCTGCTAGCAGCTGGCCAAACCACTGGCAGATGCCACTGCCACTGCTTGCCATCTATGTGGTGCTGCCGACCCCACCCCCTCCACCACTGGTCACCTCTCTCTGCTCACAACAAGCATGGGGTGCAATCGCTTGGCTGGCCTGGGCCTCACTCTGAGGGCAATCGCTGGCCAGCCCCGCCCACCCGCCACAGCACCGCTGGCCAGGTAGCCTGGGCCTCCCTCTAGGGTCCCTAGTCCTAGCTGGTGATCAGGGCCTATCAGGGCTTTCCTTCCCCCAGCTGCTAGCAGCTGGCCAAACCACTGGCAGATGCCACTGCCACTGCTTGCCATCTATGTGGTGCCGCCGACCCCACCCCCTCCACCACTGGTCACCTCTCTCTGCTCACAGCAAGCATGGGGTGCAATCGCTTGGCTGGCCTGGGCCTCACTCTGAGGGCGATCGCTGGCCAGCCCCGCCCACCCGCCACAGCACCGCTGGCCAGGTAGCCTGGGCCTCCCTCTTTGGGGTGATCGATCACCCAGCAGCAGGAGGCCCAGCCCACCTGGCTAGAGCACCACAATGGATCTCCACACAGGTGGCCTGGGCCTCCCTCTTTGGAGCGATCTCAGAGCCAGCCTCATCTCCCACCCACCCCCACCACCCCCGGTCGATTGCCCTGCAGGCCAGTGGCCTGGGCCTCCCTCTGCAGGGCGATTGGTTGGAGAGAGAGAGAGAGAGAGAGAGAGAGAGAGAGAGAGAGAGAGAAA